TTGTCCTCTAAAAACATTTCAAAACCCTTACCAAAATTTAGAAAACATGTTTTTTCTAGGTTTCTCGATACGCTCTACAATCTGGACAGATCAGAAAATTTTTTCTCGAAAAAAAGTTTTTCGCCGGAAAAACCGGTTTTTCAAAAACCAGAACCAGGACTTAGAAGGCCTAAGGGCCCAAACGGTTGTCATATTCGGATTCAGCACATTTTTTTACCTATTACCCACTAACTGAGAGCTAAAAGCGAGGTGGCAGTTGATGACCTTCCCTCGTGAGATACTTGATTAAAACATGGATTGTATCTCAGTTGAGAATATAATTTGTATCTCAGTCGAGTCCAAACCTAGCTAACACCTGTTCTTTTCATTGGTTGTTCTTTGGGTACCATGAAGCTACTGATATATAAACCTGTTGTGATTTTCCAAGATGAATTATGATTTAAAAGAACACCAAGTAATTTGACAAAAGTCACACGCTCCACCCTCTAAAAAAAATAGGTTTATTACGTTTTCGGTTTCGCATGAATCGAACAATGTTCGCCCAAAACCGTAAAAGGTTTCATAGTCGAAGTACGAAATCTAAAGCGGTTTCGAAATGGTTGCACTTCTGTATACCTTTTCAGGTTTCGTAATAAACCTATTTGTTTTTAGAGAGCATGTTTATGTTATTGAGAGAGACAGAAACAAGGTGCATTTCGGAAGATGAATTAGAGAGTAGAATACACTGACATTTGTTAATGTTTAGTTTCACATGATTTTCTTCGCATCAGACAGAAATCTCATTTCTCGACTTCCTAGAAATCCTTCGAGAGCACCATCATATTCTCCATGCCGAATAATCCCTAAGTCACAAGTGTCATGTCACAAAGTCTCTCAACAGTTAGTCTATTTTCGAATTTCTTGTGCGGACACAGTGTAGTATGTATTTTCTAAGCGATGCTATGGTAACTAATGCACTGACGATATGCATGGTCGACGCCTTAAAGCTGTATTTGTAGTTACTTATCAGATTTAGAACACTGAAAAGAAAAGAAAAAAGATGAATGGATACCAATCATAATTAGATATCAATCAAGACCACATACAGCACAATCTTTGTGCAAGATTGCATAACTAAAATTTGCATCAATCCAGAGCTACCAATGGGGATTGTAGAAAAAAAGGAAAATTTCAACGAATTCCTAACACCCGTTCTTTCCATTGGTTGTTCTTTTCTGCACCATGAAGCTATTGATATATAAACCCTTTCTGTTCAACAGTTTCTGCACTACTCGCAAACATGTTGGCTGCCAGATTATTTACGTGTATTGTCCTATCAGTCCACATTCAGTTGGTAATATCGCATGGTCAGGGAATAACACAAGAGGAACTTATAGAGTCTTTAAAAGCAATTGATCTGGCGGATCCTCCGGCTTGGTTGAATCCAAGTCGTGTTTTGCAACGTAAATTTTGTCGAACACCCCCATTGTGTGATAACAAAATAACAAGCGATTATGCTGGTATCAAACTGATAGCATGTGGAACAGGACAACCGAAAACAAATGTACGCGGTCGAGCATGTTTTGCCATAGTTATCGATGGTATCGACTATATGTTATTTGATGTTGGTATGGGTGCTGAAATAATATTAAATAATTTTAATAATACAAATCAATTAAATTTCATTAAACGTATATTTATCACTCATTATCATAGTGATCACACGGGTGGTATCGGCAATGCATTAAATATGGGATTTTTGGATCTAAGAACTTTGCCTGTTAAATTACATGGTCCAGGTCAAGATTTGCTGTATAATTATACTGAAGGTATGAGACATTTTTTTACTATGGATGCAATTAATCGACAATTGACACTTAATGCAGAAAAAAAAATTTGCAAGCCAACATTCGCTTCACCAGGCGATCCAAAGTTGAATCCTGCAGTATTAGATTCATTAAATGTTCAGGAAGTATCATTTCCAATTCCACCATTTGATAATAGAACGCAAGTAACTGTAGTCAATAATCCAGCCCAAGATGTAGTTGTTAAATCATTTCGAGTTTATCATCATTCAGCTGATCCAGCTGTGGGTTACATTGTTCAAACTAAAGGTCATAAAATTGTCATTAGTGGTGATACAGTGGGTTATCCAATATCATCGGCTGTAGTGAATGCAGCTCAAGATGCTGATTATTTAATACATGAGGTATTAAATAAAACTTATTTAGTATCACATAGTAAGCCGACGCCAGGCGGTAAATTTAATGACCAATGCCGAATTCTTGATTCACACACATTTATCCCACAAGTAGCAAGAGTAGCCAAAATGGCTAAAGTCAAAAATTTAATCCTTACACATATTCTTCCCTCTCCAGTAACAAATCAAGACGTCACAAATTTGAAGAACAGCATTGCACAAATTTACAAAGGAAATATTTATGTTTCAAATGATTATGATTACTGGCTCCTTAAAAAGAAAACATAATCCTCACAAAATTTGAAATCATGCAAAATAAGCCAGACCTGTCCCAGACCTGATTTAGAATAAGAATTTTTCACACTTTTCCGCACTTCAAATAGATGTGCATTTTAGCGATTAGTTTTTGTTGCTCATCATTGTTCAGAACTGTAGAGAGGTCAAGTAGCCGAAAATATTTATCTCTCTTACATAAGTCCAATAAATTTCGTTCTTCTATTAACCCTTAAGAGCCGAATGTCCCTTCCAAGGGACATTTGAATAAATGCAGTACAAATCGTAAGAAGACTTTTGAAACAGAAGTGGATATTTTTCTGGGCTGAGATGATCTTGGTGGTCATACTG